CCATGTTCCGGAAGAACGTTGTTGAGTTTTAAAGATATTCGAGATAATCAATATCATATTGAAACCACTGAAGATAATGGTTCTGAATTTCTTTGTATCACTTCGTATGAATATGGCCAGAAACGTATTCAAGAGAAGTTGGAATGTTTCTCGAGTGGGTTGTACATCACAACCATTTGCGACATAGAAGCCCATCATGTGGTCGGCTCTATACCTGAGTTTCAGAACACTTTGTTGCTTTTGCATGACCATTTAGGACATCTTGGATGTGACATGATGCGTCGTATCCTCAAATCATCACATGGGCATCGATTACCTCCCTATGTTGGATTCCCGCCATGCAAAGCATGTTCTTTAGGGAAGTTGAATACTCAACCCTCAAATACAAAGATCATTCACGACCCCCCTAAGTTTCTTCAAAGGATTCAAGGGGATTTTTTTGGACCTATCCAACCAACCTGCGGACCATTTAGATACTTTATGGTGTTGGTTGATGCATCGACACGATGATCACATGTTTGCTTGTTGTCTACACGCAACGCTGCATTTGATCAACTCCTAACACAAATTATTAAGCTAAGTGCTCACCACCTTGATTATCCGATTAAGTCAATTCGACTGGATAACGCTTGAGAGTTTACGTTATAGACGTTTGACGATTATTGCATGTCAGTAGAGATTGATATGGAACATCATGTACCCTATATTCACACCTAAAATGGCCTAGTAGAAGCTTACATAAAGTGCCTTCAATTGATAGCTCAGACTTTAGTTATGAGAACCAAACTGCCGGCATCTGCCTGGGGCTATGCAATATTGCATGCAACTATGCTGGTCCGTATGAGGCCCACTGCTACCCAACCATATTCACCGTTACAGTTGGTTGCTGGATACGAGCTTGACATCTCGCATTTACGGGTGTTTGGGTGTGCCATTTATCATTTAATAGTGCCCCCACTACGTACCAAAATGAGTTCTCATAGAAAAATAAGAATCTATGTCAGTTATGATTCACCATCAATTGTTCGCTATTTAGAACCCTTGACATGAGATCTCTTTACTGCATGTTTTACGGATTGTCACTTTGATGACAAAGTATTCCCGTCATTAGGGGGGAGATAAGCATGCTAACGTTCTTGGAGAACGCCGCGAATTATTGTGGTATGCTCCCACTATGTTTTATTTAGATCCCCGCACTGCCCAATTTGAAAATGAGGTGTGACAAATTATAAATCTTCAAAGCATTGCTCATAGCATGTTGGATACTTTTAATGATCTAGCAAATGTGATAAGATCACATATACCCCCTGCAAACGCACCTGCAAGGATAGATGTACCCCGCGTATGTCAACAACCCTCTTAGGAAGGCCGGACTATCCCCGAATGTGGGGATGCCGCACCTTCCGTGTGGCATGGTACATTGGCGGTTAGCTAATCATCTGCTTCGATCCTGAAGCTTGGCAGACCCCTTGGTTCAAAGGATTCACAACCCTGGAAGAGGAAATCGGCACCACCTAGTGACCCTAATTTGAATCCGACCATTGCTCACTCATCCGTTCCAACGCATGAGGTTATTCTACATTACGATGATACTTCAGATGAAACATGCCGATTTCATGAGAATCGTGAGATTTCGGTCCACTACGCAGTATTGGATGAGGTTTGGAATCAGAATGAGATGATCGTCGACGATGCATTTGCGTACTCAGTAGCTACTGACATCATGCTTAGTGATGACATTGAACCACGTTCCGTCAATGAATGCTGAGTATAACATATTGATCAAACTGGAAACAAGCAATCCAGGTCAAACTCGATTCGCTTGCGAAACGTGAGATGTTTGGACCTATTGTTCCTACACCATCACACATGAGTGCTTAATGAGAAGAATGAAATAATGTGGTACAAAGCACGCCTCGTGGTGCAAGGCTTCTCTCAACACCCTGTGATTGATTACGAGGAGACGTATTCCTCCGTAATGGATGTTATAACATTCCGCTACCTTATCAGTTTGGTAGTTTCTGAAAAATTGAATATGTAGCTTATGGATGTGGTAATTGGGTATCTCTATGGGGATCTAGATACAGAAATTTACATGAAAATTCCATAAGGACTTCTATTGACTAGCTCAAATAGTTCTAGACCACGGAACACTCTCTCAATTAGTTTGAGGATGTCACTTTATGGATTGAAACAATCCGGGTGGATGTGGTATAACCGTCTGAGTGAATATTTGACAAGTCAGGGTTATATGAACAACGAATTATGCCTATCCATGTTCATTAAGAAGTCACATTCCAAATTTGCAATCGTTGCAGTTTATGTCGATGACATGAACCTCATCGGGACTCTCGCAGAGCTTAAGGAAATTGCTACGTACTTGAAATTGGAATTTGAGATGCAAGATCTTGGGAAAACTCGATACTACCTCGACCTAGAGATCGAGCATTGTTTAAATGGAATCCTAGTACATAAATCGAACTACACTCAGAAGGTGTTACGTCATTTTAATGAGGATAAAGTGAAGCCTTCGAGTACACCCATGGTCGTCGAACTTTAGATGCTAAACGAGATCCCTTCCGTCCAAAAGAGGATGATGAATAGATTTTGGAACCTGAAGTTCCTTACCTAAGTTCATTTGGGGTTTTATTGTACTTGGCTCAATGAACTAGACCTGACATCTCATTCACTGTTAATCTTTTGGCTAGATATAGTAATGCACCCACACGCAGGCACTGGAATGGTGTTAAAGACATTTTCCGCTACCTCAAGAGTATAACGGATTTGAGCTTGTTCTATACCCATAAATACTCGGAGAGGATACGTCCCCCCCTCAGTTTTCGGGTTGATTCTCGCCTTGTTGGTTACGCAGATGTTGGATATCTGTCTGATCCACACATGGCTTGTTCTCAAACGGGTTATGTCTTTACCATTGGAGACATTGCTATATGTTGGAGGTCTACCAATCTGTAACATCCCACATCGACCAACAGAGGGGGTGATGTGCCTTATATGTACATGCCCATCTCCAATTAGCACGAGGCCTTTTGACAGCTCATTGGCTTCGGAGTTCGTCAGAACTTTGAAGTTAAGCGAGTTCGGCCAAGAGCAATCCCAAGATGGGTGACCCATTGGGAAGTTCTCGTGTGGTTCTCAGAAACAATATCGTGCTACGGCAGAGTCGAGCCCATGATGTGGTGGAGCCCGGGTCGGGATGTGACACAAGCAAACGCTAGTTGCGACTTCTTCAAACCATGATGATATTCTCACCCTCCATGAAGCATCGCGTGAGTGCTTTTGGCTTAGAGTAGTTATCGAACATATTCAAAGCATTAGTGGTCTTACTTCCGTCATTGACCTTCCTACGACAATCTTTGAAGACAATGCAACATGTATTGAGCAGTTAAAGAAGTGATACATTAAGGGAGACAACACCAAACATATAGCATCAAAGTTCTTTTACTCACACCAGCAGCAACAACATCAGAACATTGAAGTCAAGAAACTCCGTTCCCAAGACAACATGGCCGATCTCTTCACCAAGTCATTGTCAAAGTCTACTTTTCAGAAGCTCATCCAAGGAATTGGTATGCGTAAATTATCTGAGTTGAATCGCTTGTAGTTCTCTTATTTAGAAGTTATGTCTAACTTAGGGGGAGTATCCCAAAGCATACTTACTTGGTCTTAATGTACTTTTTTTCCTACGATTATGAGCATTTTTCCACTGGGTTTTTGCTACCTAACGAGGTTTTAATGAGGCATCCATCTTTGGATGATCATACTCTGTTGAGTTCACTACTTTCGTCCTGTTTGATGTTTGTTTTAGACATTATGCATACTTCTCACTTTTCTCCTTAGTCTATAGGTTTTTCCCATACCTTGGGGTTTATCATAGCGAGGTTTTGTGAGTTTTACTACAAATGCATACTTTTTTAAATTTGAGACTCGCATTCACCCGTTGTGCCGATGACTTCATCAACTATTCTACATTCTCAGCTGAAGATTTGAGGCGATGGTTTGTTGAGTATTTACACACTTAAGGGGGAGTGTTGCAATCATATTTACAATAGGAATATGATTGTGTAAATCCTAGTGGATCAAATGAATATCTCTTATATTCCTATTAGGAGTTGATTACCTATTAAGAGTTGTAATCCTAAAAGGGTAAAGTTTTTGCCTATCCTACTACTATAGATAAAGACACAATTGGGTGATACAAACACACCTCACAATTAAATCACTCCCTCTTCTCCCTCAATACCGCCGACCCCTTGTCTCTCTAATCCTTTAGATTAGTTCAATTAAATAGGCCTACAACAAGGCATTTATAAAGTTTTAAGTTAAATTTGATTTAAATATTTTTTTTTAAATTATTTTAGACGTTAAATTTAATTTTGAACCGTTAATTCTATTTTTTTTACCTTTAGATTTGATCATAGCCATTATATTATAAGTAAAAAAAAAGTTTGAAATATGACAGTTTGGTGGATTCAGAATAATTTAAGCCAGACTTAAATCCTGGGAGAATATAGCGCATAGAGATATTTTATCCCCAAAGCTTATTTTAGCCCAATGGTTGGAGATGGTTTGTGTGGTTTCAAAGCTTATATTTTGGGAATTGTTATTAGCATTCCAAAAATCTTATTCTACACTCCAAACTTTCTATATTAGGAAACAAAAGTATATAATGAGATTTTTAGAATGTCAATAACATTTCTCTATATTTTAATCCTATGAATTGGGGATGATTTTAATGTAGATAATATTTTTTGTTAAAAAAATTGGTAATTCAACAAAAAAGATTAGTTTATGTAGTAAAATAAGCATACCGGTAGCCCTACTGGTTGTGCAAATTCCCCAAAATAAAAATATAGAAGTTAATTTGGTTGACAACGTAGAAGCCAAAATCGTAAGCAACACGGCGAAAAGATATAACCAGCTTGCGTGAGGTGTTGAACTTGATCCATTGAATAGTCAAATATTCAAAAAGTCTATTTTTGTAACCAAAAGTGCACAACCGTTACCGTCTGGCTCGCCAATTCTCTCTCTCTCTCTCTCTCTCTCTCTCTCTCTCTCTCTCTCAGAAACACTGAGATTCATCAGCTTCTATGAATTCGATTTCTACAATTCAAGGTATAATTTCTAAACACATACATATAACTTATATGTTGTTATATTTACCCATCATTTATTTTCCTCTTTTTCTTTTGCTTTCATTATTTCTAATTCTGGAATTCGAATTTCATTTAATACCACCAAGAAAAAGTTGGAGTTCATTTTACAGTGTATGATACATAGATATGATTGTTTTGGTTTCTATTTTATTTATTTATTTGCTTATGGTATAATAAGAATCTCCTATTAATTTTTGTTAAGCAATCATGCTCCTCATATTTCTTGTGCTCTTAAGGTGTGTAAAAATTGAATTCAGCGTATTGGGTTTTCTCCAGACTTTTGAATTTTGATTGTTAACAAGATTACCAGCATGATTTCATTGTTTTCTTGGCAAACCATGTGAGGAAGGAGCTTGCATCATTAATTTGAGTATTACTTGTATTATGAAGTTTCCTTGTAAATAGACCCAATTTGCATGCATACACACACATATATAATACACAAACCCACACCACATCGAACTTCAAAGATCCGAACTGCTTAATTTTTAAGCTGAGCATTATAGATCATCCTTGCAAAATATTAGTTAATTCGGATATGTTTGAGGCATGATTGTGGTGAAAGAAATTGACAAACACTATGCTATATATCTATATTTGTTTTGACTTATGGTAGAATTATATTTGGCTTCCCATAAAAATTGTCTTTGATCACTGCAATGTCTTGGTGAAAATCATATTGATTACTCCTCTAATCTCTCTCTCTCTAATTCTTTACTAGGAAGATGATTTTGTCATTTTCCGGAGTTTACGCCTTTCAACAGAGGGATCAGGCTTGCACATTATCGAACATTTGTTGAAACTTTGGGCAGACGTTGTTATGAAAGCTGAAACTTCCAAAGCTGGACCGTTCATTGAGGTGAATTGTAGATTAATATGCTCATGATATCATGAGGGGAAACCTTGTTACAATGCGATGAAAAATTTACTTGAGAGCCTTGCTGTGATCCTGATGAAAGAATTTTTCCGGCTCTTTGCCGGGCATAAAATTGGCTGGAAAAAGATATTTTTTATTGGGGCCATTATGACAGCGGTATGTGTCATGCTGCAAATGTTTATACTTGCTGACCCACTGGACTTGTGGTTCCTCTCTCTGCCCTTTGAGATGCCATCAGGTAAACTCTTGAACAATAGCCTGCGCTTGAACAAGACCTCTACTGAGGCAAAGATCAAGCGGTTGCAAATCTTTCCTCGTGCTCCCATTGTTTCACCACAACCTTCTATTGAGTTGAATCTTTCAGTGGCAATTCAGCCAGCTGCTCTCTCAGTTCCTCCGCAGAGAAAATCTCCATCTAGAAGGAGAAGAAAAAACGCCAGGGGAGATAACATTGCAAAGGTCACACCTCCTCCTCCTCCCCCTCCATATCCAAAGGTGCCTCATCGTTTGCAGGTAATCTCATTCCTTTTTTTTTCATTGAATCATGATAAAGAAAGATCTTACCAATGATCTTAACATTGTAGAACACATGTTTTAGAAATTCATTTGGTCATTGACACCAAATGAGGCACTTGTGTATGCAAAGAAAGAGATTGAGTATGCCCCAGCACTCACTGAAGATGATCCTGATCTATATGCCCCTATATTTCGGAACGTTTCAGTTTTCAAAAGGTAATCTCACAATTTATCACCATCTTACTCCATTATCCCAGTTAATCTTTCATATGTGTGCCTAGTCGGTGTGGTAGATTTTCACATACAAACCTCTAGGCATTGTGGTGATCCTTTAGTCTTTCATGTGGGAAAAATATATTTGTTAGGAGGTCAATTGAGCAAGAGCAATTAAATCACATGGACTTTGGATGGCTTTTGGATTTATTAGTTAAAAGCATTTATCCATGTTTTTATTTTATTTTTTCCGTCCAAAACTTACACAGTGTTTGATCATGGTTGGAAACCATTCTTTCGTAGTGACAAAATTATATATAACAGGAAAGTGCATAACTTCATCAGGAACCTATGCCAGAACACTGTTTCTCTCTCTAGATGCAATAATACTTGTTAAAACTACAATATAAACACGAGAAAATACTTATTGTCATTGTTCTCATTTACTTTATGTTTCAAAATCATGGCTTTCTATGTCTATGTTCACTTGTATTTATAGATATCTAAGAATAGTTGCCCAGAATGTTGGGCAGAAAACTCAATCTTGGGTTTTCCAGGCTTCATAAAGGCGGAACTTTGGTTAAATTTCAGGAGCTATGAGTTGATGGAACTGATACTTAAAGTTTACATATACCGTGATGGAGAAAGGCCCATTTTTCACAGACCTCATCTCAGAGGAATTTATGCTTCTGAAGGATGGTTCATGAAGCTGATGGAGGAAAACAGGCAGTTTGTCACAAGGGATCCAGAAAAGGCTCACTTATTTTATCTTCCTTACAGTATGCGGCAACTGGCGATGTCACTTTATGTTCCCAATTCACATAATTTGAAACCACTCTCAGTTTTCCTGAGAGAGTATGCAAACATTATTGCTTCAAAGTATCCTTTTTGGAATCGCACACATGGGTCAGATCATTTCCTTGTTGCTTGCCATGACTGGGTATGGTAACTGTTTCTTCCTTTCCACAGAATGCTTTGAGGCAGATTAAATTATCTAGGAAGAATAAAAAAAAAAGATCCGTGTCCTTAGCAGTCTTTATTGTACATGTTTCTCCAATTTGTAGAATAGCTGAAAAGGTATGCACGAGATAGAGATGTTTGCTGATCCAAGTTGAAGTTTTTGACAGTAAATATCTATCCATATTAATATCTCGACTTTAAGTAGCATTGTTAGTGAAGGTCAGTCAATGAATACAAGTTGATGCCGTAGTGATATATTTAACTAAAATTCCTCCATTCTGTTCTGACCTTTTGCAGGGCCCGTACACATTGACTGCTCATGAAGAACTAACCAAAAATACTATAAAAGCTCTATGCAATGCTGACACCTCTGAAGGAATCTTTGTGGCTGGGAAGGATGTTTCACTGCCAGAAACAACTATCCGGACCCCCAGAAAGCCTCTCAGAAATGTTGGTGGGTTAAGAGTATCCCAGCGCCCACTTCTGGCCTTCTTTGCAGGAAACATGCATGGAAGAGTCCGCCCGACTCTTCTCAAGTACTGGCGGGACAAACATGATGACATGAAAATCTATGGGCCTCTGCCTCTTCGAGTCTCGCGAAAGATGTCATATATCCAGCATATGAAATCGAGCAAATTTTGTATTTGCCCTATGGGATATGAAGTGAACAGCCCTAGGATCATTGAGTCCCTCTACTATGAGTGTGTCCCAGTGATTATTGCAGATAATTTCCCCCCTCCCTTGAGTGATGTGATAGATTGGAGTACATTTTCTGTTATCGTGGCCGAGAAGGATATTCCCAAGTTAAGAGAAATTTTAATGGCTATTCCTATGAGAAGATATCTTGCTATGCAAATTAATGTGAAAATGGTGCAGAAGCATTTTCTTTGGAACCCGAGACCAATCAGATATGATTTGTTCCATATGATTCTGCATTCGATTTGGATTAGCAGGTTGAGTCAGATTCAAATCCCGGAATCCTAGTATAGCGTAAGACTAGTGAAGAGTGAAGTGTAAGACTGACTACTGACCACGATGCAAGTCCAAGAAGTGGCTTGGCTGTTGACTTTATGAAGGACTTCAGATAACATTTGGTGCCTCCAGCCGGGTTTCATTCTAAGTTTCCAAGTTCTTTGAACTGAACCACGGATGAACGTTTTCTGGGAAGACAGGGGTGGATGCCAAGATGAGAACTCCTAATGCAGGTATGCCCGAAAATATATGCATCCTTCATTCTGCAAATGATTTTTTTTTTTTTGTTACTATTCTCAGAGGTCGCACTTGGTGCGATGGCAAGTGCCTTCGCCCATGAGCGGTAGGTCTCGGGTTCGAGACTTGGGAGCAGCCTCTCCATAAATGGGGGTAAGGCTAGCCGACATTCACCTCTCCCAGATCCTGCGTAAAGCGAGAGCCTTGTGCACTGAGTACGACATTTGTTACTATTTTTCTCGTGACTGCTAGCTCCAACACCGGCGTACTCTTCTTTTTTCGCTGTTTTACTGTTTTGGACCTCGTCTTTTTTTTTTTCCTTTTTTTTTTATTTCAATTTTCTTTTGTTCGTTCATATCTTTCTTTCATTTTATTTCATCAAACAATACTTCATAGAACATTCTTGTTTCTTCACTATCTTGTATTTTTGGTGCTGATAGTTAAACAGAGTCAAATAAAAGCCGCTGTCTAGCAATATCACTTTATTGCTTCTCGTTGCAGTTTCGATCTTTTTCGAGAGTTCATTTGATGTTCAATCTGTGGCATGACTGCGACCTTAATCAGATGCGTACTACTCTACTAACTTGTTAATACATTGCAGGATAGACGAGAAAGGGAAGGAGTCTGCGTTGCTCTGTGACGCTTTGTTGGACCCAGATAAATCTTAATTAGACGCTCCATCATAATAAAATCATTGTGCATTTTACCGTACACAGACGATCCGATATGATTCACTGTAAATCGAAAATTTTCCGTTGTTAGGAATGTAAGTCCATAATTGTTGATGCTGATATGTAAGTCGTCAATTTTGAAACAAGCACTATGTGATCCTTTTTGTTTTTAAGGTAATAATGGGATTTCATTTATAAAAAGACCAAATAGTAGAATACAGGGAGCATGGAAACAGGAGTGGCTCTGGAAAATCCCTGTCCCTGGTAAGGCACTTGGGAAAAAACTCGAGGGAGGATAAAGAGCCACCATTGGTAGAAAAACAAATAAATCAAGAACATAATCATCTAACATCATCCCAAAAAGAAATAGAAATTCGATGGCTGGATACTTTGATAAATCTGATTAATTCTCTATGGTTTATATATATAGTTACATGTGCCGTATTCTACAAGGAAAATAATGACAAAGAAATTAGGGAAATACCCATAAATAGGACAGTTTCTTAATCTTGGGACAGAAATAGGACATTTAAAATATGCACACGTCATGCACACGTCATGCAAAACTATCGGATAGAAATAGAATTTTCTACACCTTGAAATGACTTAATAGCTCTCGTATATAAATGAGTTTTTTTCTCCCATTTTCTGATTTCCCTCTTTTTACTCTCTCCCCCGCCCTCTCTTGTCTCACTTTCTCCCTCACGTACTCTCTCTACCCTTCTCACTGTGCACACACGGTGCACAGTCCTCCCGACTAACACCGTCCAAATCAAATCCACCACCAATTTCATTTCGTTCTCACGAGTCCAAAACACCTAACCTTGTCACGAATCTCATCCTCCAATCGTTGGGATCAAAACCCAAGCAACCGCGAGTTTTCCGGCAACACGTCAAACAATTGAGGCTTAAGACCACCACCACTTACTCGCATCGACAGTGCGAACAAAGCCCAGTCATTAACTGCTGTGCACAAAACCCATTTGTTTTTTGCTCTCTTCCTTCCAATATTTGCAGATTAGTGGGATTAAAGAAGTGATTTTTTTTCATATTTGGGGAAGGGAGAATAAACCCATAAGTTGAATGAAGTTGTGATGGGATTCCCTACCTTGTTTGAATGTTGTGATGGTGTTTACAAAAAATTGGCAAAAATTTGTGTTTTGTTGGATGAAGTTTTCAAGATATATTCACTGTATATACACAATATGCATATGATATGCTCACAGATCTAAGCCAGCCCAAAAACCCAGAGCTCACAGCTCTTTCTTCGAAATAAAAAAAATGATGTCATCACATGTAATGTCACCACCATATACACTATATGCACACCACATGCATATCATATGTATAGTACATGCACATGATATGCACAGAGTTGGAGATCGAGCAACAAGCTGTATTTCGCATTAATAAGAAACTTTAATGGCAACCTATTGGTATAGTGGATACAATTAAAATATAATTGTTACGTATATAAGGTTACTGTGGTGGTTTGAAAAGTCTTGTTAATTATATCAATCACTGTTTAATCGTGCACGTAGAAAATATGATACTCGTCATTATTTCATGGACACGCAATATCCTTAATGTCCTCTAACCTTTTTCTTAATTTTTTTCTTTCGTCGAGGCTCATACTCGCTAAATTTTGGGACACAACATACGTGCATCATAACTAGTGAACATTTCTGCTTCTCATATTAAGATGTAGCCATGCACACTATATGCACACTACATGCACATTACGGAAAAAATTTCACAAATTTCTGCAATTGAACACTTGAACCAAAAATTGTTCCATCCCAGTTTTGCAGCACGTCAAAACTTGAAATTTATTCCACAACCTATAGGCCCCAACATGAAATATAACCCTAATTTAACTTCTAAATTTTTGGGTTGGCTCAGATCTGTGAGCATATCATGTCCATATCATGTATATACAGTGAGCAAATCTTGAAAAACTCATCCAAGAAACACCATCATTTAATGACTAGGCTTTATTCCCACTGTCGATGCGAGTCTAGTGGTGATGGTCTCGAGCCTCGATTGTTTGCCATGTAGGTAGAAAATGGTCGGAAAACTCGTAGTTGCCCAACAATCGGGGATGAGATTTGTGACAAGGTTAGGTGTTTTGGACTCGTGAGGACAAGAAAAAAATTGGTGATGGCTTCGATTTGGATGGTGTTGGTCGTGATGACGGTGCACCGTGTGAAAGGAGAGAGAGTGTATGTGGGAGAAAGTGAGAAAAGAGAGAGAGGAAGGGGGAGGGAGAGAGTCGAGAGAGAGAAATAAGAAAATGGGTGGACATAACCATTTATATGTGGGTATTTTAGTAATTTCGGTTTTCTGCATGGTGTGCATGGCCGGTTTGTCCTATTTGTGTCCCAAGATTAAGAAATTGTCCCATTTTGGTGTATTTCCCAAGAGATTATAATTAAATATAAACATCTTATTCTTACAAAAAAATAGGACTCCTCGAAAATTTACTAGTTCATAGTATCGTGATTTTCAAACTTTCATGCATCAAGTGTTTTTCATCCCAATGTTACACCCCTAAAGTGAGGATTGAGGGACAGTTTCATACTTATGTTAGGCTTTCTATCATAACCTACATTAAAGCGTAACGTGGCGCCACGTGGACAATGATTGGGCATCACGTGTCAATTTGGCCCCACATGGACATTAAAAATTTTAAAAAGCTAAAAATTAAAAAAAAAAAAACTAAATATCTAATGAAAACAGAACTCTAGGTTTGGCTGGGTTGGTTGCCGTGTCCTTTTCTCTCCCCTTTGCTTCTTTTCTCATCGCCTCTACTATTGGTTCTCCCAAATTTTGACTCTGGTCTGTCCAATTCCTCTATCCCCAAGGGTATTCCTTTTCCCAGCTATCCCTTGGTTCGATCATCAACCATGTTTCCTATTGAGATCGTGTGTAGAGTTATGGTGCTTACACCAATTATGGTGTTTCCAACACCATCACTTTCTCCTTGTTGTTTGCCGGTTCTAGCAGTGTCGCTCGTTGGTTTCTACAAGCTTCATACTGGTAGTTTGCTTCTATCGCTCTATTGTCGACTATCCCCTGTTTATGGCTATGCTCAGGTATTTGACCGGGATAGGAAGTGGCATTTGGTAAGGCATTACTCAGCGGCTGTGGACAAGGGTTCGTTTGGTGGAAAGTTGATAGTGGAGATGGCAGTGGAAACTTCCTGGTTTCTCAGCTGCTGTGCAATTTTCAAGGCCTTACTATTTTGTTGGGCTTTCTCTTTGTTTGTTTTTAGTCTTGGGCCCTTTTTGTTTGTTTATAGGTGTTTCTTAGGCCTTTGTTTTACTTGTAAGTTGTGTTGGTTGTTTAATAAAATCTCCATTTGACAAAAAAAAAACCCATCTCAAATCCCAAATTATGGAACCCATAACGAGTTCCTTCCAAACCCTAGCAGAAACTCGTTGAACATTGTCGCTCGAATGCCTTTGCACGTATTTGCACGATGGCGTAGAAAACTGCTAACATAGACTGTTATAAAAAGTCCTCGGCACTGCAGCATCGCCATCTTCTCGCCACAATGCACTTCATCCTAACAACCGAGTCCATGTTCCTCACTTTGTTTGCCTAATTTGCCGCCACCATCTTCAAAATCAACAACATGTCATCCTTTGCGTCCTAGACCTGGACCCCACCACCACAGTGACACTTGTTGATGCATAAAATCAGTGAGGACTTTGGTACAAGAAAGTGTTAAGTTTGTAACCTTCGCTAGATTGCTCTGGTCACTAGTGTGGATAAGTATGTAAATGGATAGAGACAGGAAAGCAAACACAAGATGTACGTGGTTCACCCAGATTGGCTACGTCTACGGAGTAGAGGAGTTCTCATTAATTGTGAAGGGTTTACACAAGTACATAGGTTCAAGCTCTCCTTTAGTGAGTACTAGTGAATGATTTAGTATAAATGACATTAGGAAATATTATGAGTGAATGATCTTATTTATAGAAGAGAGTTTCTAGTTTCATTCTGACATTGACACGTGTCGTGTTGTGATTGGCTTCTGATGTTGACACGTGTCACGCTATGATTGGCTTCTGATGTCGACATGTGTCGCGCTGTGATTGTCCTCCTGGTTGGAGGGAAACTCTTATGGGTCCTTGACGGTATAACGTTGACTGGTGCTTAGTAGTTTCGGGATTGGTCAAGTATGGTACAAACAACACTGTTGTGTTCTTGGCCATAGTGCATTCTAGGACCATCTTGTTGGCCAAGCGGTGAGGTGGGATCGATGCTGATTGAACTTCTAGAGAGAGAATGAGTTATCCATGCCCGCCAAGAGGGCCTTGATAAAGTGCTTAGGGGTTTTGGTACGGTTTTGTGATTTGAAGGCTTGGGGATCCATAAACATGCTTTAATTTTTCTATTTTTTAGTTTTTTTTTATTTTTTTATTGTCCAAGTGGGGACAAATTAACATGTGGAGCTTAATCATTGTCCATGTGGGTGCCACGTCACACGTTAATAGAGGTTTTGACGGAAAGCCTAACAGAAGTATGAAAGTGTCCTACAATCCTCACTTTAGGTAATGACATTGGAATGAAAAAAAACTTGATGTATAAATGTTTGAAAATCACAATATTTCAAGGTAGTAAGCGAGAATTACCCTACAATTTATGACTTATATCAACATTACCCCACAAGTTGGTGCATAGATATCTAACATGCCCAACTTTGACGAATGAGTTATTAAACACCCTACTACATATTGCATGAGTAAGAACATCCGCAATTTTCCTCTCGAAATTCTCCTTGTCAAAGTGTCGATCAACCTCTACATACTACTTATTCTATCATGTTGTACATGATTACCTTCTATTTTCCTTGTAGAACTTACTATCACAATATAATTTCAACACTTCCTTTGTTTATAAACCAAGACATCCCAAGAGTTTATGTAACCAAAGAAGGTCATAAACTCCTTGTGCCAAACTCTTATATTCAGCCATGGCAAAAGACCTTGACACCACTTGTTGTTCTTACTACACCACATAACCAGTTACCTCAAACAAACGTAAATACCGAAATGTAGAATGCCTATTAGTAACATTACCAACCCAATTTGCATTTGTAAATCCCTCAACTTTAAGGTACCCATGTCTCCTACATGGTATTCCTTTACTAGGTGCATACTTCAAATACACTAAAATATTAAGTACAATAGTCATATGATCCTCACTAGGTAAGTGAATAAACTAACTCACAACACTTACAACATATACAATATCAGGATGAGTGTGAGCAAGATAAATTAATCTTCCCACAATTCTTTGATATCTACTCTTATCAATTGGAAATTAATAAGGATAAATACCTACGTCTACTTTACATGTTTCTTTCAGCAAATCCAACACATATTTTTGCTGAGACAAGAAAATAATTTAAGTCCTCAAATCTTTCATCTAAATTTAGATTCAAGATTTGCCTGTAACTTCCAATCTCTTATGAATCATCTCTTGTAATAATCATATCATTCACATAATTAAAGCAGTTATTTTTACCATACCTACGCTTTAGAAACAAAGTGTGATTTGAATGAATCTGGCGATGCCCATGTTTTTTTATTGCTTGAGTAAACCTGTCAAACCATACACGAGACGATTGCTTATGCCCATAGAAAGACTTATGCAATCTATACACCCCAATATTACTACTTGCACCATAACTTGGTGGGAAAACCACATACACTTCCTCTTTCATGTTCTGGTGAAGAAACACATTCTTCACATCAAATTGCTTAAGAGGCCAATCCATATTTGCAACTAAGGAAATCAAAACACATACTTGATACATCTTTGCTACCGGAGAAAAAGTTTTTTGGTAATCTACACAATACGTTTGAGTATACCCCTTCGCCACTAACCTTGATTTGTATATAACAATAGCTTTAAAAACTAAAATACTTGCTTGTTATTATGATTGGAAAAATAAAAATGATATCGAATCAAAGTGTCATTTGTCGATCCTCAAAAAAAAAAAAAAGCAAAGTTCATTCAAGCAAGAAATGGAAAATTCATGGAAAGTTACAAACCACGTAATAATGCACCTACACGCCTCGACGTTGTTTTCGACTGGAAGACCAAGAGCTAACTATCGAGACTTTTGGTTATCTAGACACATACTTCGTGAAATGGTTCATGCATGTTTCCATCAGCCTTTTACTTGATTGTAAACACCCAATGACAACCAACATGTTTCTTCTCTTTTGGTAACTGCACTATCTCCAGGTTTTGTTTTTATGCAAACCAGACATTTCTTCATTCATAAATTGTCTCCATTTAGGATCCTATAAGGCTTATTCCACTTGAGTTGAAATTTTTATTGACTCTATATAATTTACCAATGCTTTACGCTCAGGTGCAATGTGCTTACAAAATACATAATTAGCATTTGGATACTTCATTTTTTCTATGTGAGGGAACTAGGGCTGGGCACGGGCCGGGCCGAGCCGGGCCGAACCTAAGTTTGTAGGAACCTGACATTACCCGAAACGGGCCGGGACGGGGCGGGGATTGGATTTTCTTGTATAGGAACCGGACATTACCCGGCCCGGTTAAAACGGGCCGGTTCGGGCCGGGTCCACGGGTACCCTTTTTTTTTTTTTTTTTTAACTGCACTGCACAGTTTGAAAACTGCACAGTTTGCAAACTACACAGATTGCAATTTGCAACTGCACAATCACAGTGACTGCATTTATGCAGATTTTGCACAAATTCACCATTATTCACATCTAATCTAAATACAAAGTCTAATATCCAAGTTCATAAATTAAGTTTTAACAATACATCCAAAATAACAATATTACATCGTCCTCCAACATCTAAAAATGAAATCCACATACACAATATCCGAAAGTCCAAGACATCCAAATTCCAAAAATCAAATACTCCAAAACAACATAAACATGACATCCGCAATAAATTTCAAATTAAAACCACATCCAACGCCCAAGTTCCAACAACAATCCTCAATTCCTCATTGAATCTGTAAGCAAAAATAGAATATAAACATCATATTATCCTCATTGAACTTGAAAATTTATCATGTCATAACCATCTAAATTCAGTTTTTTCAAATTGTCTTCAGATACTCACTGTACAAAAGTGAACTTGACGCATAGTCATATTAGTCATGTCATTCGACTAGATACAAATGGAAACATGATCTATTAAATATAAATGCACAAAGATTTCATGACAAGTGAATTATGGTAGCAACCTCACATTCTTATTAACCACTATATATCACTGAAACAAAATCTGATCACACGTGCTGCATTGCAATCTCAAGTCCATTACAAACATGATAGACAAACAAAACTATACTCAATCGAACCGCAGCTATGCGAGCAACTATGCACAAACTCCCATTAATTTCCCACAACTCCGACATTATTGATCAGTTGGACAGAATCCCAGCTACCCACATTACAACCGAATAGTCTTAAATCCAAATTATTGATTCGAACAGAATGACATAAACATAAATCACCACAAAATTTCATCACTGAAATCCAAAAAAGTCATGAACATCACACAAAGTACAGATTTTCAACCTGAAAAACCACCTACTCAGAAACATTTCATCTCAAATAAATCAAACCCATCTCAAATTTTCCACCTATCAGTTAGATGAATCCCAAGAGCCATGCAAACACAGCAAGCACAAAAATCCCAGAAAAAAAAATACCCACAAACAGATGCACTGCAATCGCATCCAAACATCAAAAGAAAAAGGAAATTTACGGGCATACTAAAATGGCAATATACAAGAAAGTGAGGAACTTTATAGAACAAACACGTACCCTTTGATAAAAAAGCATATAATTCGAGAACCCATTTGGATTCATCAACCCATCAATGGCGGCGGAGGGCTTCGATTTCTCGTAACGCCGACTGGTAGCCGCGGACCTCACGGTAAGGTTGACGGAGATTCGGAGGGCTATGTACACGTCGGAGTAGGATCCGGACCCGAAGCTCTTCTCAGGCCCACCTCCCGGTACCCTAGCTCATCGACGGCGAAGCCTCAGTGTAAACCCTAGATCGAGGTCTGATGATGATGGTGGCGGCGATAAAGGAGATTCAAGGAGATTTTGCATGTTGGAAGGTTGAAGGAGATTCAAGGAGGAGAGATCGAGAGAATGGAAAGTTGAGGAAGTGAGTCTGAGAATGAGAGTCTTGGGAGTCTCGGACAAGAATAAGAGAGAGAGAGAGAGAGAGAGAGAGGTGAAATCAATGGTAGGAAATCAAGGTAGGAATCAACGGTCCGGGCTGGGGGCCCGTATTTTCCCATTTCTGTACCCGCCCCGCCCCGTTATTTACCTGTACCCGGCCCGCCCCGCCCCCTTTTGAATTTACAATATCTGTACCCGCCCCGTACCCGCCCCTTACCCGCATTACCCGCCCCTACCCGCGGGTTCAGGACCCGTTTGCCCAGCCCTAGAGGGAACTTGTCAGGTGGCACACCTCGATGTTGTGCCAATTGCAATTTATACTCACAATAGCATTTGGCTTAGTTGAATTATCATCTAAAATTCAATCTATACTAAAACTCAAAATCAACTGAAACATTGTTCATAAGCACAGTGTTCTTCCTGTTTTACCCTCGCTCATTTTGTGTTATTACAAGGCTGCCACATTCCTTTTGACACGTGGGATCGCACTCCCCTTCGTCCTTACTTCTTCCTTCCTATTCGACTACCTTTCCAGTTAAAACCTTCTGCTCAAATGGCATACAAAAACAGCTGCCCTCTTTTACCTTGGACGAAGACGAAGGAAGACGCCACCCACCACCCACCACCCATCCTTCTTCTCCTCCTCCACTCCAACCTTCGGCGGAATTCCCCCATGTTTCCTCGATTCCAAGGTCCGTTCTCATCTCTCTCTCAACATTTTGTTTTTTGCTTTAATAGTTCATCGTTTCCTTCTTTTAGTGTGTCCGATTATAGATTTCTGCTTTTTCTTGGGGAAATTGACATGCTTTTCACAACATCATCTCCCTAGAACCTACGAGCTTGGTTTGGGTTTGAATTTTCTGACGTGAATTAGATAATTCCGGCAACGCCCAACATCAAGGTTGGTCTCAAACCATTGTCCATCACCTCAAGTACCTTCTAGATCTCCTTCATGTCCAAATATGCATCAAATTTTTGATTTAATATAATTGGGTTGTAGTCAAATTTTGATGAATTTTTAGAATTTTACGTTTGAAGTTCTGGGTTTTGGAGTCGTTCCCGTTGTAGCTATATCAGTACCTTTGGATTGTTATTTGTTTATGTCGGTTGATGTGAAGCCTTCCATTTGAACTTTGTTAGTCTCTCTCGATGATCATGCACTCTATAATGTCCTCATTGTATATGCAATGTGTGTGTTCATTGCGTTGTTTGATCAATAATAATATTGAAATTTGGGTATCTTTGAAATGCCTTGCAAAATCTCTCCACTTCTAGGGCACCCACCTAAACAATTGAGTACAAGCAGTTAGTTTTCCTTCCATATTTCTCCATTGTGCTTTGATCCAAAATTTGTTTTGGGACAAGCAAAATTATTTCTTTTTAGTTTTTGTTTCATTTATTTCATCCTTTGTAGTTGAGAAAGAGTTCTCCTCAATTTATAAACATGACATCACTAACAATAAAAAATTTACAATCAACATATGAACGGCTGACAACTGATACATATAAGCAACTAACAGCATGCTCAGGGTCAACTGATGCATATCACCAAGCATCATGCTCAGGGCCAAGGCTTCTGCTATTATTACTATTATATTATTCTTTTAATTATGATAGAGAGTGTTATTTTGTGATGAATTTGGTTACTGACTTATTATATGTAAAGAATAAGCATTCAAGAATTAAGGTAACTTCTTGGAATAAGCTGTTCAGTCTAAGGGGACCTTCAGTGTTGCATTGCCCAATTCTCATGTGCTTGAAATTTTTCGATTTTCAACTGACAGTTATATTAGCAAATCTTAAGTCAAATGTGTAGACGATAGACACTAAAATGGATACATACATTGATATGGTAGATGTTTTTAAGTTATATGCATACAAGGAGAGTGCTGACTCTTTCGAACAAGTCTGATCTGGCTCTTTCATATGATATTGTTGAAATGATTGTGGACCAAGGTTAGGATTTTGACTCCATTTATCTTTGATTGTGTTGTACTTCAGTTTGCAATAAACATAAATATATTCAAAACTTCATTACCTTATTATAATATACAGATTAGTGATTTCGATTTTGCGTGTTGGTATGAACACGTTTGATTAGTATTTCTAACATTAATTATTTCGTTTTTCTAGATGTGAGAAATCATCGTTTTGATATAATTCGTTTAACTGCTAGAAGTAACTTATATAATACAATAGCTGTTTCTTCATAACTCATTTTAGCATTCATTTCATTGTTTACCAAATCAAAAGGAGTTTTTAAGAAGTAGAATTTAGAGTGCCTTACTGTTCAATATGATTTGAGATATTATAGTGATTTGAATACTATTCACACCTCATTAAGAAAATAGTAAGACACTCTAAATAGATATTGAACAGTAAGAAAATAGATATTGAGTGCCTTACTGATATTTAGAGAATAAGAAAATAGTTATTGAGTGCCTCACTTTAAATAGATGTTTGAATACTATTCACACCTCATTAAGAAAATAGTAAGGCACTCTAAATTCTAGCATTAAGAAAATAGATATTGAAAAGTAAGGCACTCTAAATAGTAATATAAGTTTTTAAATAGCATTCATTTCATTGTTTGCCAAATCAATAGCTGTTTCTTCACACCTCATTAAGAAAATAGTAATATCAGTTGTTAAATAAACCCTTTTGCTCAATTTGAATATCTGCATATTTGATTTTGGCATTGTATAAATTAAGAAAATAGTAATATCAATTTTTAAATAAACCCTTTTTTCAATTTGAATATCTGCATATTTTGGCATTGTATAAATAGGATTTTTAATTTTAGTCTTGAGTAAGACTTTGATTGATAGTGCATTATGGAAGGAAATGTAGATTGAAGTTGTCTGCTTACTGTGTGAAAACCATGTTAGCTTTTCAACATTTGAAGCACTATACCTTAGGAGAACACCAAGTTTATGACAATGGCAATAAATTAAAACATGCAAGTCTATCAACACCAACATGCTTGCAGACACTAGAGGGTCATAGATAGGGCAATAGGCTACTGTGGACGATGATATCATTTGGGAAAAGGATACTCTCCTGAGCTCAGGATGGGGATCCTCTTGACCACGAAATCCGGACCGTTCAAATTTAATCCAACGACTCCAAACAGAAGGGCCCTCTAAAGTTATAATAATTGCAACCGTTTGATTAAATTTGAACGGTCCGGATTTTGTGGTCAGGAGGATCCCCATCCTGAGCTCAGGAGAGGATCCTCTTTCTATCATCTGCGGTTCTACAATAGGCAGCTCTGTACTAGACTTGATGTTCTATACTAGGCTCGGTGTTGGGTTACTGCACACTGGGCTCGATGCTTGGTTGTTGGCCTACACTATCAAGTCCAAAACGGAGCTAGAAACTTCAAAAGCATTTGCAAACACCTCTTCAACCACAGTTAATGTTTCTCTTATCTCCCCTTGGGGAACATTCTAACCAACATAGATCATCTAAATCATCATTCTTTCATTGGACGATCTAAATTGGATAGAGAATGAGCATAAAAATATGCGGACTCAAAAATGGTCACATTCATTATAACATACATACACCGAGTGGATGAGTGATAACACTTGAATCATTTCTGCTAAGTTGAAAAACTCAAAAATACACAACGAAACACACACAAATCAAGCTTACTAGGGTGGACTTTCTGGATGAGAACATAGACCGCACAAGCAAAGATATGAGGCAACAAAGTATTTGTAGAAACTACATGAACATGTTGGGTAAGTACTTGAAGTGTTGTTTTAAAACTCAAGACCTACAAGAGCATTCGGTTCATAACATTAATTGCATATACTACTGCTTTTGGCTATAAGCATTTGGGAATGGATGCACCAATAAGCAACGCACGGGCTGCCTCATTTTGTTGTGGGTTGTAGGACATGTAGTTTCAAGAAAAATTCCATGATTTTGTAGAAACTGGGATAACTCAAAATTCATATACTACACATCATTGTCAGAAAGCAACACTTTAGTATCAAAAGAATATTGAGTTTTAACCATCTAACAAAATTACGAACTATATCACAAACATCACTTTTATTCTTCAATACACACAACCAAGTCATACAGTCATACAATTGCAATCATCCACGAAAGTAACAAACCACTTAATTCCAAATGTAGTACTAATAGGGAGAGTCCCCACAAATCAAAGCGTAATCGTGCAAATAGAAACAACTTTTAATTCATATTGGAAATGAAGCACGTTGGATTTTGACTAAAATACATACTGCACACTTCAATTCTAAATCTTTAATGTTGCTAAATAAACTAGGTAACATGCACTTCAAACAACCACAAGATGCATGCATGCCCCAATCAACAATGCAATAACCATAAATTTTGTAAATTACTATCACGCGACGTACGAACCAAATTACCTCTTTTAGAAACCATGTCATCCACATAATATAATCCTCCCTCTCTTAGTGCCACAACCAATGATCTCCTTTGTCTGAATATCCTTAAGCAAGCAAAATAAAGGATGAATTAATATAACACAATCCAACTGTTCAATAACTTGTGGTGCAGACAGTAAATGATAGGACAACGATAAATAGTGGTGTAAGAAAAGAGATGGTGTAAGACATAGTATTCCCCCTCCGACAATAATAACATTTGTATCATTGGCAGTTGCCACACACTTTCTCTGAAGGTCCGTATTGAAGCAAGTTTCAATAAAGGATAAAGTAGAG